ATATTGCATTGCACAGAACGGCGACACGGCGCTCACAGTGGCAATGACGTGTTGTCACCGAGACGCCGTCCGCAGAATTTACGCTGTTGTGGCCCAGCCCCCGACTCCGGCACGACGCCTTGACAAGGATATTGGCCTCATGTTACCTCGTAGATTCTGCCGGACGAGGTGATTGGCAAAAATCAAGCTCAGCTCGGGCGGCCAGAAGTGTCTCATCGAGCACGGCCACTACCGCGGAGAGGGTGTCGCGATCAAGTCGAATGCTCCATCCCCGCGACACGCCTGCCATCACAGCTGAAATCACCGCGCTGGACGTGTACATCCCGAAAGCGTGTCATTTTCCATGCTTATCTCATCGAGTAGGTGCAACTCGCCCTACCTGCTGCAACTACGTGGTATCACGGGCACAGAAAGAACATCCACTGATGATCACCGAGTACATGTCGCTCGGCAATTTGCGCGATTTTCTGGACAAGAAGCGGGAGGCGCAGGCCGTTCCAAGGGACTTTACAGCCCAGCAAGTGCTGTGGGTCGTCGCCAACGCGCTCGCAGACCTCCACGCCCGCGGCTTAGTCCACCGGGACTTGACGTCGCACAACGTCTTGCTCTGCAGCACCAACTACATCAAGGTCGCCAACCTCGGCGACGCCAACGCCAGTCTTATGGACCGCCCCATGTCGATGCTCTCGTGGTGTGCACCCGAGGTGCTTTCTGGTGCAAGTGGCGCAACGGCCGCCGCCGATGTCTACTCGCTTGGTGTCATTATGACCGAGCTCGACACATTCCAGCTGCCGTACTGGGACGTGAACCTCGACATGTGGGCGCTCACCGACAACATCCGCAATGGCCGCGTCCGTCCAGCGGTGAGTGCGACGTGTGCACCGTGGTACAAGGCGCTGGCCGAGAGCTGCATGGCGTTTGACGCGACCACACGGCCTACGGCGGAGACGATCGTTGCGGCACTGGAGCAGCACTGGCGTCCGTCGACAGTAGTACCCGCGGTACAAGGCTACATGAGTCCGAATGTGACGGCTGAGCGCTGGACGTAGGCGACTGCGACGATGACGTACTCGATGAGCTTTCCGCTGCTCAAGGCCGACAATTGTGGGCCGCAGTACGAGCTCGTCGGGTTGAACGACGTGGAATAGACACATGGACAAACAGCCTTATATATTTTAAATTTATACTAGTACTCTTTTACGACGGGACATGAAGTCTACCAGTATGTCTATTATGAGTGGCCACCCTCTCGACTGACAGATTTGATGTGGTATTGTTGTCATCTGCATGCAGTGGCGATATCAGTGCAAGCTCCGGGAGCAATCAGATCTTGACTTGGTTTGCGTATCCGAAAAGATACGACGTCGTCCGGTTGTGATATGTCGAGCGTGGATTGAAAAGACGCCAATGAAAAGGGGGAGAATGTCAGTTTTCAAATTGACGGCGACGGAAGATGCCAACGGACGACGAGGTAGAACGACGACCAGGCGACCTGCGACGATGTGGACGAGCGATGATGTAGTGTTGGCTTCTCGGTGCTATAAGGGATGGCAACGTGGCTGACGTCCAACGTTATCTCAACAAACGCAACGTCAACTGCACAGACTGCGTACGTTGGATCTCTCGAATTGAATTGGTTTACATGCATACACTGGAGTAGAGTGGTTGGACACCATTGCACTACGCTGCTTCCAAGGGTCATGTGGACGTCGTCCGCCTCTTGCTTGACAAAGGCGCCAAGTTTGACGCGTGTACGACGGTATGAATTGCGAATCGACGATAGAGCGTTATGTATCTTGCTTGAATAATCCATTGGAGTAGGATGGCTCGACGCTATTGCACTGCGCTGCTTCCAATGGTCATGTGGACGTCGTTCGCCTCTTGCTTGACAAAGGCGCCGATGTGGACGCGTCCAATGCGGTATGTTTTTGTCTTTATGAAGCGGTGTTAAAGTATCTATTGACGTAGAATGGTTCAACACCACTGCACCATGCCGCTCAAGCCAACAAACCAGAAATGGTCCAATTGCTCTTGGAAAAAGGCGCCAAAGTCGACGCCAAAAACAGAGTACGTACAGCCACCATGCCGGCGTCTGGTGCTGGCATGAAATGTGCCTCAAGCCATCGTCAATGAACAACAAATGCTTTTCTAGGAGGGCAAAACGCCGCTTGAGGTCGCAGAAGCACGCGGTTCTAATGATCCCGTCGCTACGGTTTTACGCGACTATCTTCACATGCAAAGTCAGGTAGATAGTCGACCAAAATGACGTGCTTCTCTGCCGCGTCTATACTCACTCTCTGCTATAGCTCTTTGACGCACTGCGCGAGAATCGCATTGATGACGCTATGCGCATTCTCCAAAACAACTTTTATCACGTCAACCTCCGTGACAGCGTACGCATTTTTTACGAAATGCCATCCATGATAGATGTGACTGATATGCGTGTAGTCTGAGACACCGTTGCTGCACTTGGTCATGGCAACGCAAGATCTGTCGCTGCTTCAAACGTTGCTTCAAAAACCTGACCTCAAAATCGATGCCAAAGACTCGGTACATAAATCGTCTTCTCGTCCGACATTCTCACATCATTTCTAACGAAATAGACGGGTCGCACGGCTCTTGCAGTCGCCATTACCGATGACAACGCCGAGGTGGTTCAGGCGCTGCACCAAGCAGGCGCATCCATCCATCTCGTCGATATCCCACCTAGCGACCTGGTTGGAAATGTACATCGTTTTACTGAGAATTGACAATGCGATGCAGAGTCTCCGTGCTTCCACGCCAGTCTTGGTCGCCGCTTTGCACCAAGCAGCCTCCATCAACGACGGCAGTACGGCGGCTCAACTATTGCGTCTGGGCATCAGCTGCTCGTTGGCCAACGAGGTATGTATAATGTTGAGTTGGACGGTCAAAAGCATCTTGGTCTGATCTAGAATGGCGAGACGGCGTGGCATGTGGCGGCGGCAAAGGGGCATATGTCCATCATCACGATGCTGCTCCAACAAGAGACCAAGAACGAGAACGGCATCAACACACTCAACCATGTACACCCTCCTTACACATTTTTTCTCTTGCAATATGCCCTCCTGAGTTTCTTTAGGCGGGAGAGTCACCCCTTTTTGTCGCTGCTGCCGGCGGCCATGCCGACGCTGTCGAGGCCCTTATCCTTGGCAACGCAAGCATGCACTGCGTCTCGAATGTACTGTCTGTGCATGACATGCTCCCATCCTCCACGTGCAATCGTGGATCTAGACTGACGCGACGTTGCTGCACGCGGCCATCCTTGGCGGCAACACGAGCGTCCTGGACCAACTCTTCTTGTTTTGCAGCGATGCCAAAGATGCTTGCGACGAGGTAGACAATATTAATGATTGGTTCAAGGTAATCTCCATCTCAACTAGATGGGACAGACACCGCTGCATGTCGCGGCTGCCAAGAATCTCGTTAATGCCGTGAAGTACCTCGTCAAGGCCAAGGCCAACGTCTTTGCAACGACAATCGTAATACCTCTTCCTGATACATGTAGAGGGAGCTCGAACCTGACACGATTTCGGTAGACGGGCAAGACGCCATTGATGCTAGCGACCGACCGCCGCGTCATCGCCATATTGCAACAGGCTCAAAGCAAGGGCAAGCAGAAGGTATTCCTCTTAAGCTTATATGGAATGGACGGCAAGCGTGTGCGTTCTAGAAAAATCTGCTCTCGGACGCCGAGCTCGACCAACTCGTCGATCGTATCTGCGACTCGGAGGCGATGCTGAGCAAACTTGTCGAGCGAATTTGCAACCGCCTCGACGTCGGCCTTGAAGCGTCGAAGGTACGATTGCTGCATGTCACACGTCACTTCCTACGATGTAGAACCCGGTGGATCGACCCGAGGGCACTCAAAGCGCAAACGTACAACTTATTTGGGACGAAACATGTCCATATACCTATGTATGCTGCAGGCGCGTGTCCAAGCTGTGTACGTCAACGACGCCAGCCAAGAGCGAACGCTGGTGACCGACGACAGGGATTCCAACGCTGCGAACGAGGTGAACGCTTTGACTCGTCTCTGAGCATCAAAGCGACGCTGCAACATTGTAGGCGGGCGACTCTCCTCTGCATCTCGCAGTGCAAGCCAACGACCACAAGACGTTGGCGGCGCTGTTGCGAACGCCCGGCATCCAAGTTGACGTCCGCAATGCGGTACAAACACAAAGCTGCCGACGACAACAATGGCCATGACACTATTGTTGTTGTTTAGGCGGGCGTGACGCCGATGGTTTTGGCCATCCAAATGGGCCACCGACGCCTTGCGACGATGCTCCAGACAGCTGCGCACCGTGTCATCCCCAGCGTACACATCAGTTTCCTAGCATCGATCTTTCTCTCAAATGGGCGCCTCTAGGTGCTAGCCACGGACATCGAGCTGGATCAATCTTGTCCAATCTATGGTACTGTGTACAAGGGCACATACAAGGGCCGTGTCGTCGCCATCAAAACGCCTGTCGACGTGTCCTCCGCCCAAGCAATCGTCCACGAGATGGAGACCATGCAGCAGTAGATCCCTTTGGTCTTGTGTCATGATCTGATCATCGATGGCTGTAGGTGCAACTCGCCGTACGTGCAGCAGCTGCTCGCCGTCTCGGATGTCACCACATCGAGTCCCAAGCTCGTGCTCGAGTACATGGACGCGGGGGATTTGCGCAGCTACCTTGACGCCAAGCGACTCGGTGAGCCCACCAAGGTCAACGTCTCTCCACTGCAAGTCGCATGGGTGCTGGCGAATGCGCTCGCCGATTTCCATCACAATGGCGTCTTCCACCACGACCTTGAGAGCTACAACGTCCTTCTCTCCTCGACCAACTACATAAAAGTCGCGAACCTCGGTTCTGACCTCGAGTCGGACGCGACAGCGGGCAAGAGCACACCGTACTGGACAGCGCCCGAGGTGCTTGCATCGACGAGCAACTACACCAGCGCCTCCGACGTCTACTCGTTTGGCGTCATCTTGACCGAGCTGGACACGCTTCAGCTGCCTTATCACGATGCCAAGGGCCTTGGGTACTGGGGTATCATCGACGGCGTGCGTCTCGGCAACCTCCGTCCGACAGTAAGCACCAACTGTCCGCCTTGGCTGCGTCAACTCGCCGACGCCTGTCTCTCGTTCGATCCGACGCAGCGTCCGTCCGCGCAAATGCTAGTCGAGTCTCTCCAAAAGCTGCTCGGTCGCAGCGAAGAGGAGCTTTTAGCGCTTATCGTGCCGGCGCCAACGACCAAGCTTGCCGAGCCACGAGCTGTGAGTAGCCCCGAGGTCCGTGTCGCTTTCTAGAAGAGTCTCAGTTGGAGGGACCAATGCTGCTTTTAGTCAATCCTGTCTACCAAGAGCCCAGAGCCCTTTATCAAGCCGCCAGCAAGCGCAACGTCTACCGACGACAATAGCGAGGCGGCTGTCGTCGCACCCGCGCCCTGCTATGCCCCTCCAGCGTCCACTGGCACGGCGGTGAGTTCACCGACTCGACGAAGCCTCTCGGTGCTATTTCTGGGCCTTACCTTCTGCCATCGTAGTCGATGCTTGTGAGCACGCATTTCGTGTGCCAGCTCTGTTTCGCATCCAACTCGCTTCCCCAGACGCACTGCGAGACTTGTGCCGAAGAGGTCGCTTCCGTCGCGCTCAAGTTCCAGGTCCTTTTGAAGCGCGTGGCGGTTGCCAAGAAGAACGGATCGAGGATCTACGATGGTCTTGTCTGCATCTGCTGCGGCGCGCCGCAATCCATGGAAGCAACGGCCTGTAGCGAATGCAACGAAGCACTTCCCAACGACCAAGCAAAACTCAACATCCTTCTGCGACGCATTGAAAAAACGACCAAGTCGACGACGTAGCAACTCGTACTCGACTGAAATGTATACAACAAGACGATTGCATTCTACTACCTCGAGGACGCGCTGCTGGGTGTCGCCTCTAGACACGCTATAAGCGCACTGCAATTTGAATGGATATGACCTCTACACGATGTCTCTTGCAGTCTATATACATATATATATGTACCTGGCACCGATATCCCATGAGAGAGTTGGAGCAATGTGTGAACGCGTCGCCTGCCTTGTTGGCGACATTCAGGGTAGTGTTTCAAACATGTTTTTAACGCGTTTCAAACACACACGTTTATATGTTTTAAACACATGGGTCCGTGTGAGGTTCATTTTGGCCGTTGCCGTGGGATGGGCGCTGCCAGCCACGCGGCCCTGGACGTCGCTGCCAGCCACGCGGCCCTGGACGTCACCGCCAACGCCAAGACGGTCATCATGGACATGCGCTCCTCGCCGCCAACGACCATGGCTGCCTCGAGGTACTAGTCGACGCGATGCCAGCGCCAATGCTTGCCGCGCGCCTGCCCATGCCCATGCCAGCAGCGCGCAGCGGCCGCGCCATCGCACGAGCGCTCGCCGCGATGCGCTGGTACCACGCGGTCTCTCTGAACACGCTGCATGAGGGCGTGGCCATCCACTGACCTCCGGACGACGTCGCTGTCCATGGGCAGGTACCGTCCCGCGTCCATGTCGCGCCGTCGGACCGCTCCGTCCAGTAGCGCCGGTAGCGACACGATCTGCAAGGCGATCTACCGCGCGCCACGGTCTTGCATGTCACATGCGTGGTAAGCTGCCAGCGCGGCGCCGCGCTATAGGACGCCTGCAGGTATGGGACGACCACCGTCATGGACTGGTTGGACGTCGTCGTGCATCGCGTCGCATCGGCCAACGCGCTGCCTGTGCAAAAGCAAGAGAGAGGTATCAAGACGACTCTCTAAATCGTGTGCCGAAACAGCTTTGTCCGAGTATTTTGTTCCGCAGTTCTAGTAGCTTTGACACGACGCCATGGGCGCACCGACGTCTACGACGATGGCCATCGCATCTACGACGACGATGACCGCGTTGGCGACATGACGAGAACGATCTCACGATCTGCAAGTAGCGAGATGTCGAGGGATGGTCCTTGCCAAAGTGGGTGCTTGGATCGGGAGCGCCGAGCTGGACATATTAATGGCAATCGTGTATGGTATTGGTGCTGGCCGTGCGCCAGTCGCCGAGGTCCAACGTAGGTCGGAGCAGCTCCAGCACTATCAGGCACAGGTCCAGCGTGGCGGGAACGTCACCGTCCAGGCCAGCGACGCGGCCAAGTTGGCGCGTTGCGATCGACCATCGGCATTGGCTCTCGAGTGCGGCAGCCTCGCGGTTCGCACTTGTACGCAATAGCATACGACACCAGGTGCGACTGCGCAGACAGCGTTTCTGGAGAAGAGCTCCAAGACGACGAGCCGCCGCGGGATCAAGGAACCTCTAGCACACTGCATGGCGGCGGTGCCCCCTCATCGTTGGGCAACTGTGGCTGGGTGTCGTGATGTGATTGGATACGACGCCGACTATTTTGCAAAATGACGTCCAGGGCGCAGAAGGAGGTACGGGACGTCCATCGATACTACGGAGGCTCAAGGACGCGGATGCGACGATATAGGTAGCGCTTCTGTATGCTGCAGAAAAGGGCCACTTGGCTGATGTCCGATCCTATCTCAACGACGGCGTCGACATCCACTGCACGAACAAAGTACATTAGATCTCCCTCCATCGATGGATGATGATCCATGGCGATTGGTATATTGGTGTAGATGGGTGATACAGCACTGCACTACGCTGCTCGCTATGGTCATTTGGAGATCCTTCGCCTCTTGCTTGCGGAAGGCGCTGTCATCGACGCCAAAAACATCGCACGTTAAATCTCCCGCACGTGGTGTTTAGCGTGTAACTTTTGCTGTAGAGTGGGTGGACACCATTGCACGATGCTGCTTCCTATGGCGATTTGGAGATCGTCCGCTTCATGCTGGACGAAGGTGCGGCCTTCGACGCCAAAGACGGCGTACGTTTTTTGTTTGGCGTTCGATCTGTCACGCGTATTCATTGTGTGAATATTGGTGTAGATTGGTTGGACACCATTGCACGAGGCTTCAGGGATGGGTCATTTGGAGATCGTCCGTCTTTTGCTGGAGAAGGGCGCGGCCATCGACGCCAAATGCGATGTACGTTGTGTGATTTGCATTGAATCTACGCGCCTACAGAAC